TAGGTTATACCACGAATACTCGTTACATCTACGACGTTACATCTCATCGATCGCCACTATTATTACCGTGACTACCCAAGTGCTTCCCCTTTTATTGCTAAGTTAAAGAAAAATCGGGAAATCCACAGGAAGTTGTCATAATTTTATGTTCACTCATTCGAAAAAAAAATATATAAAAGAACATTTTCGCAATCGGTTTTCTATCAATTGCCAACCCTTCTGATAATTCGCTGTACAAAAACAAAAAAAAAGCGATAAAACACGAAACTAATATCGAAGAGGCGATTTTTTTCACGACATTCAAAAGAATTCATGCTCCGGCAGACCCACGACAGAGTCGTCGCCGGAGGCTTCCGGACTCGTCCGGAAACGCGTGAAGAGGCCGGAAGAGGCTGAATAAGATCCGCTTTGGCGCATTTTCGGTACGCAGTTTCGCGCGACGGCAGAGATTGCGTCGGGGTCGTTGCAAATAGGGGTGTCAACGGCATCGGGGCTGTATTGTGGAACGTCAATGCCACGGAAACTAACTCCACCCCAACCCCCCTTGGTCCCTCTAACGTTTCCATGCCCCGCTGTAACCGCAGAACCGTCCCTTCTACTCCATCCATTCCTCCTCGAAGGTAGCCGTGAAACCAGATCCGCGTCTCGTTGACTGCAGAAGCGTCTTATGTCCACTCGATTATGATTCTTGTTATATCATCCCGTAAAATAAATTATCGCATTTGAAGTTGATCAACGGCTTCTGAGAATACAATATTATCGTTTTTTTCTGCTGCAAACTTAATCATTTTTAATTCCTGACTCTTTATTCTGAATTTCTATATATTAATTTATTTTAATACCGTAATTATTGTACAATATGTTTGGCTATATTGATTCGTTTCCAAAGTTTCGTTTTTATCTTCACATTTTTTAGACTCCCAGAGTCTAAGGTAGTATGATTATGGCTTAAGACGGATAGCTAATCTTGAGTAAAGAAATAAAAGAAAAGCAAAAGGATATAGAATCAAGTATTGTCACAGCGACGCTTTCTTCCCGGAATTGTTTCGACAAATATTTTTTTACAACACTCGCAATGAGACTTAACACCGTCACACGTACCCTATCTATGCCGATCTACACATAATGTGGGAACGCAAATTAAAATCTGTAATAACTTACAATTATAAGTATGTATTCAATTATATACACATATGTATTTTTTAAAACTATGTCATGAATTTTCAAAATCCAAACACTACGACCCAATGCTTATAATTTTTTACTTGTATCACTTTTCTATCAACGCGGTAATGTGATGCAAAATTAATGCGTTTTTCATTCCTTTATTCAAAGTTTTGATCGTCGTTCAAAATGTTTATCACAATACAGCCGTCCATCTGTCCAGTGTTTTGGTGATTGATCAAGATGATTAGCGTCCTTTTAGTACTCATCACGTCACGTCGCAGAGGATCGTGATTAACCCTCGCAGATCTGAAATGAGGGCGACATCGTGATTCGCGGGCACGTCAACGGTAAAATTCGACGCGCCGTCTTGTCAAGGACCAGTAAGTTCGAAAGTTCTCGATAGCCGATAACCGATAACCGATAACCGGCTGTCAGAGCGAACCACTTGTCGTGACACCTATGCCGCTCCTGGTTATTCAAAGCCGACGGCGCACCGTCAAAAACGATGACGGCGCCTTTGTCCGCCCGGGTCCAGTGACAAAGCGAGCGCGTAGCCGACGACAACTATTATTTTCCCTAACTGGACTCGTTAGATTTCCCATTGTACCGCATGCGGTCGCGGTAGGCGTGGTCATTGATCTTGCTGTTCAGAGCTGACGTACTGTCGTTTTAATTCGCGGGGATAGTAGTGTCACGATGCTGGTTAACTTCGGCCCGGAAGCGCATTGCAGATACGTGAAACGTCGTAAAAAACCTCGCAATAAATCAATTTCATTGCGGCATCAAAACTCTCGCGATTAGAGTAAGAAACAGGAAGAAATAATAAAAAAAAAAGAGGCTATAGAATAAAACAGGTTTGACGATCATTTATACGAATGTAGATTAATTTTAAATTTGAATAAAGATTCACAAAATTTTGTAATTTTCTATTACTTTTGTAATTCGACGTAATACCATATAAATGTCAGATTTTCGTACAAAAATACCGTCGAATACTCGGAAAA